TTTTCATCCACTTTCTATGTGGGACAAACTTAGGGGTTGTTTGACACTCATTTTAGTATAAAAATATATTTTTGAATAATGACTGATGGAAGAATGTGTAGTTAAAAAGTAAGGAGAATTTTTAGGTTTATGTGTAATATTATTCTATTAATAAAATATGTGGTTAAAATAAAGAATGAAAAAAAGAATGAGAATGAGAAAAAATGGGTGTCAAACGGGGGCTTAATTTTTAGTTTTTTCACTAACATAAACTCCTTTCACATGACATACTTTGAGCTTCAATTTCTCATTCACCCGAACGTCATTTTTGACAAGTATATGATTTCGATGTATTCACGGAGAAGAACACAAATCAACTTTCATCTTCCAAAATAGCCAAACGGGTCCCACTCTAAATTCGTGCCAAAGTCACCCACTAATTCAATTTTTCCAACAATCCCCCACATGAATGAAAATTGCGAGCGACACAAGAATGTGATACAGACGACTTGGTGATATAGTTCAACAGTTGAAACCTGCATAGGATAGGTAGGTGTTACCTTTTGAACCTTCCCTTGTGAAAGCATATTTACTTGAACTGTTCTGCCGTTTATGTAAACGATGATATACTCCATACATGATTCTTCCTAACACATTTCAGTTCTCATTATTATGTTCGTTTTGGTCATGAACATACGTCTGGTTCTGTGAGAGTTCACAAGAATTTTTCCCCATACAATTCCCTTAGAAGCGGCCCCACTTCTCTCTCACATAGGTGATTTCTTACTACAAGTAACCCGTATTACTTGACTCAATTTCTGACGCATAAAAATCATTAAAAGCCTATTTCTTATCCTTCATCTTCACGGGCATCACTGTTATATCACAAGAATGGACATGAGGTAATATCTCCTACAATGGTTCTATCAAGTTTTTACAAATAGGTTGTCCCTTTGAACCTAAATCTTAGGATCTCCAGTCAACTAGGTTGGGTTTTCCTTTGTATTAACTTATCCATTCAAGGGCTTAAGTCCCATTCCCCTCGATAATTTTTCAACTAACTCTCTATTTAACCCTTTGGTTAGCGGATCCACAATGTTATCCTTTGATTTTACATAATCAACAGTGATAACTCCAGTTGAGAGTAGTTGCCTTATGGTATTGTGTCTACAAAGTATATGTTTAGACTTACAATTATACATATTACTCTGTGCACTCTCAATTGCCGATTGACTATCACAATATATGCAAATTGTTGGCACAGGTTTTGACCATCTTGGAATATCCTCTAAGAAGTTGCGCAACCACTCAGCCTCTTCACCACTTTTATCTAGAGTTATAAACTCAGATTCCATAGTGCATCTGGCTATCACTGTTTGTTTAGAGGATTTTCAGGATAGCTGCACCTGTCAATATGAACACAAATCCACTCGTGGACTTTGAGTCTTTTATGTCAGATATCCAATTACCAACTGTATATCCTTCAATGACCGCTGGATATCTTGTATAGTGCAGTCCAAAATTATGAGTATATCTCAAGTACCTTAGTACTCTTACTATTCATTTCCAATGATCAGCTCCTGGATTACTCAGGTTACTCACTGTGTATGCTATATCTGATTTTGTACAACTCATCAAGTACATCAGACTCCCAATAACTCTCGAGTATTCTACTTGAGATATACTTTCACATTTATTTTTGGATAGGTGTTGACTTGTATCTATCGGTGTTCTAGCCATTTCAGTATCATCCTTACTGAACTTCTCTAGAATTTTATCCATATAATGTGACTGACTTAGAGCAAGCCCATCTGATATTCTTGAAATTTTGGTTCCAAGTATAACTCGAATTTAACATATCTTTAGTGGATTTAATCATCTTATTGTCACTGCCAACAATAAGCATGTCGTCAACGTAAAGACATAAAATGACATAACAATTTCCAGTATCTTTAATATAAACACATTTTTCACACTCGTTGATTTTAAATCCACTCTCCATCATGACACTGTCAAATTTTTCATGTCATTGTTTTGGTGCTTGTTTTAGGCCATATAACGATTTCACAAATTTACAAACCTTCTTTTCTTGCCTTAGAGATGAAAACCTCTCGGGTTGTTCCATATAGATTTTTTCATCTAAATCTCCATTCAAGAAGGCAGTCTTAACATTCATTTGATGTACTTCAAGATTTCGTAGAGCAGCAATCACAAGTATCATCCTAATAGATGTTATTATCGTTACTGGAGAATATGTATCAAAGTAATCAAGGCCTTCTCGTTGTCTAATCTGGCCTTATACTTTTCAATAGATCTATCTGCTTTCATTTTTCGTTTGAAAATCCATTCAGTATAAATATAGATGATGATGAAAGGTTGAGAAGAATGGTTATAGAGGAGACGACCAATTTGGATATGAAAGAAGGTTATGCTTATGCAGCAAGTTTAAATAAAGAACAACAATTTGCATATGATGCAATTATGAAAAAGTTAAATCAGAATCAAGTGGTGTTTTTTTCATTGATGGTCCAGGTGGAACAGGTAAAACCTTTTTATATAAAGCGCTTCTTGCTGCTGTGAGGTCTTAAAACTTGATTGCTCTAGCAACTGCATCTCCTGGAGTATCTGCATATCTATTAACAGGAGTTCGAACAGCTCATTCTAGATTTAAAATTCCTTTAGAAACTTGTGGTGAAGTATGTTGCTCAACTAGCAAGCAATTAGCTTTAGCAACTTTACTCAGAATGTGTAAGCTAATAATTTGGGATGAAGCACCTATGATAAATCGTTCTATTGTTGAAGCTGTAGATAAAATGCTCAGAGATATTACTGATTGCAATTTGCCTTTCGGTGGCAAAGTGGTTGTTCTTGGAGGAAATTTTCGACAAATTTTACGAGTTGTACCGAGAGGAAAAAAGAAGACATAATGAAAGTTAGATTAGTCTTCTCTGACCTATAGCCTTTGTATATACATCTACCATTGATTGAAAACATGAGAGTTAAGTTGGATTCCACATTTTGTGATTATTTACTTAGAATTGGAGATGGAACGGAAGAAAAACATACTTGTAACTACATTAAGCTTCCAGAGAGTATCACTCTACCATTTGAGGACGAAATTCAGTCTCTAAAAAAATTGATAAATTATGTTTTTTCAAATATTGAGGCATATGCTGAAAATTTACATGTAATGGCAAATCGAGTTATTCTTACGCCTACTAATGAATTCGTTGATTATATTAACAGAATTTTACTTGAACAAATTTCAGGTCAAATTTTCACATATTTTAGTTTCGACGAAGCAATTGAGAAATCAGAACAAACCTTGCAGGAAGATTTCTTGAATAGTTTAACCCCAAATGGGATTCCACCACATGAATTGAATCTTAAGGTAAATTGTTTTGTGATGTTATTACGAAATATTAATCCTCCTGAAGGGTTATGCAATGGGACACGTCTTACATGTCAAAATTTTGAAAAAAATATAATTCTTGCTGAAATCACAACTTAATTCTTGCTGAAATCACTACTGGCGAATATTGTGGAAAGCATGTTTTCTTACCGAGGATCCCTTTTATACCTCTAAAAAGTGATCGAAACTCAATTCCATTTAAAAGAACTCAATTTCCAATTAGACCATGTTTTGCAATGACAATAAACAAATCACTGGGTCAAACACTTGATTTTGTTGGTTTGTATCTTCTAGAACCTGTTTTTTGTCATGGTCAACTTTATGTAACTTTATCAAGGGCTAGAACAAGTACATATATAAAAGTTTTGGTGAAACCATCGACTTATGAAACTTTAGACAGTACATGTACTAAGAATGTTGTATACAAGGAAATCCTTTCTTTCGTACATCCATAGAACTATAACATGGCTTCCCTGTCCATTATTAAAAAACTTCATAAATTTATGCAATCAAAGTCATCGATGAAGTTATCAAATTTGCATGGAATAACTTACAAACAATTAGAAGAAAAGATGAAAGTGACATTAGAGAAGCTCATGAGGTCAGTGAATTATTGTTTTACAAATAGCTTTCTCTTAATATAATGTGTTATGTATTATTTCATCTCTTTTCCATAGTACATAATTCTAATGTTCACACATTTTTATACAAGCAGTTTCGGATCTTTTCACTTCATATTTTGTTCAAGAAATGCAATTATCAAAGTGTTCACTCTTTGTACTTGATTTCCTCTAATTTTGACAGCAAGAATGGCTAATTGAAACCTGATAAGTGTTCATTTTCACCACTGAAAATATGCTTAAAAGGTCTGCCTTCTTGATCTAAAATTATTCTATTATTTTCTTCTCTTATGCAGGCTGAGTTTGAACGTTTTGATATTATTTTTTCTTGAGTCTTGTGAGCCAAGCAAGAGTATCAGTTGGGAGGACATAAAGTTATTGATGTTTACGACAGTAATTATGTTTTGAAGACCTTGCATTTATGAGTTTGGTTAGGTTAAGATAACAATGTATGTACGCTCTTCTTTTTTATTTGGGAAAATTTGATTTAGGTTGTAGTGACAAGATTTATTTAACTTCTCTCATACTCAATTATGATTACTTGCATATGTGAATGTGTTCTACAATTTTTGCTCAATATTGACCTCCTTTAAAGAACGAAAAATAATATGATAATGCTGCATGTTTAATAAGCATGTCCTGAATTAATATATAACAATGTTGTCTAAACAGGCTGTCTATCAACAATTTCTATTGTGAAAGAAGAAGCCACCAAAATAGGACAATGAGCTTCCAATATGTTGCTTTCATTAGACCTACCGGTGTTTTTAAATATGCTCATGCTGAAGAAGTGAAGCCGATAACTGCAGCTTGATCTAATTACTGATTATTGAGGAGAAACATTACATCCAAGATAACTATTGATCAATCTCATTTATTTGAAACTATTGATCAAGCATGAGGCAGATGGTGGGTTTGACGAGTTCGATGGAGCCTCCTTTAGCGGTGCAGTGTTTAATTTATCGGCCACGATTGTTGGAGCTGGAATCATGGCATTGCCTGCAACCATGAAGGTTTTAGGACTTGTCGTTGGGATTGCCATGATCATCTTTATGGCATTCTTGGCAGAGGCTTCCTTTGAGTTGTTGCTTAGGAATAGTAGGACTGCAAAATCAGTTTCTTATGCCAGGTCTTATGGGGGATGCAATCAGAAAGTATGGCAGGATGTTGATACTGCTGTGTAATAGTCAACAACATTGGTGTGCTTGTTGTGTACATCATTATTATAGGTATTTCTTCAATTGAATTAAGTTATCTATTCATTTTTCTCTGTTGTTCATTCCATATTGATCCGTGAGGCTTTTATTGATTGCTGCTCTAAATTATGTGAACTGAAGATGATGTGCTTTCTGGAACCACTTCAAGTGGAGTTCATCATGCTGGTGTTCTTGAAGCTTGGATTGGACAGCACTGGTGGAATGGAAGATTTTTTATTCTTCTCTTCACTACCCTGGTAGTATTTGTGCCATTGGCCAGCTTAAAGCGAATTGGTGAGTTCCTCATCTTTTAATTCGGAAAATATATGGAAGTTAATACTTAATACTTGGATGTCTTGATTATTAAGTTCAGCACACTTAATGAATGTTAAATCCTATTAAACAGAATCTGGGAATTGGTTGGTTGAAGTTATCTGAGAGGCTTACCTGCAGTGGGAGTATTCATCTTCTGAGTTATACAATGATTGATCCCCCAGATGGCTGATGTAGAATTCTTAGTAAATAGATTTTAACCTTCCTATTTATTTATTTTTAATAAGAGAGTTCTTATTTGAAATCTGGCCTGACTATCATTGTAAAGAAAATAGTAGAAATCTATGCCTTTTCAAGTGAATTAATAGTGGAGTAAGAATTGCGCATTGTTTATTTCTCAGAATTTTGGTACAATTTCATTCTTTATTTTTTTTCCTCAGTTCAACATTAAAAATCACCTTCTCATCTTCTGTATGTTTGAACTAACCATTGTACTCTGGGTGATTATCCGCATAGTGTTTGATTGTAGTTAAGGAAATACTTCGTCTTGCGCATAGTGTTTGATTGTAGTTACGGAAATACTTCGTCTTTACAGATTTGTAGTTAAAATGATAGTACACCACTACATCCATCATTTCGACAAAAATATTGCATCTCGTGCATTGCACGGGCTTTGACTAGTATATAATAATTGTGAATATAAATAGTGGCTCCCAAATTACATTACATTACATTAGGAAAGACTACAAAATAATGATAGGTAATGAAATCCATCACTTGTTTTATTTTATATATACTAATATTTTGTACAGATGCAATTATTATTATTATTTAGTAATACATTTAATATTTTTAATTCAAAGCATATTTAACATCTTTTATTATGATCTTTCCGTTATTCTTCTTCAATCTTGCTACATATACATTCTACTCGATATCATGTTTTACATTGTACCATGTGACAGACAATTTTATCATTGATTTTGTTGGAAAAAAAAATGAGGTGATGACTAATTTGGCATAAATTTTGAGTGGGGCCCGTTTTCTTATTTTGGAAGATCAACATTGATTTGTGTTCTCCTCCGGAAGAACATCAAAATTATGTATTTACTTGTCAAAATGAAGCTCTGGTGAATAAAAATTGGAGTTCAAATTTGACAATTGGAATATTGTTTATATTGGAGGGAAAACTAAATTTGAGTTTATCCCACATAGCAAATTTATGAAAGCAAGAACCACTTTATATATAACTACATTTTGAAAACGTGTAATCACATGTAGTATAGAGACTCTCTCCAGGTGCGCGTTCAGGAGGGTGCAAATCATGGACCGAAATACGCTTCGAATCTTGAATTTATGTGCGAGCGCGACCTGTATACACGAATGTCGAACTGAATTAACCAAAAATTGGCTCATTAGAATGACCTACGTTTTGTCAATTTTTTTGCTTTCAACAACTGACTTTTAATTTATGAAATTGCTAAAACTCCAAGAATTATTACCATTAGTTTGAAACTATAATGGTTATTGTCATTGAGTTCATAGAAAAATTTAACTCGTCATTATTTGGGTTAAATCTATATATAGCCTCGGTTTTCCACTGTTCCAGACATGAAGAATGCACTATTTACATTATAGTTCCAAAACACACGAAAAATCATTGTCTGCATATTTAATTTACTGTCAGTCAAGATCTTGGTGGTGATATTGTTCAAATACTAAGTCAGTTCACTAGAGTAGAATCTGCGTGCTCATATTCTACTGGTTTACCGTTCTATTTTGAGAAACAAATGCTCAAATTAAATCTCAAGCACTTAGGTGAGGGGACGAATATGTTTTTAAGGAAACTGTGTTCACACATGCCTCGATTTTAAAATTCAATTGAATTTTTATTATCTACTGTTTAAATTATTTGTTCTATTTTATCATATTTTATATGCTACTTGTTTTATTTGTTGTGATTAACAAATTATTTAATCTGCTATATATTAGTTATTATTCAGTGAGTTGTTGTCTAAATGGTAAACTGCATATACAGTATGTTGTGTTGCATATCCGATAAGTTGTATATCTATTATGTGTTGTAAATAAATAATGTACAACTAGCATAGTTCTTCCTTATATTTCTGGATCCATTGGAATTACCAATGCAATTTATTAGAATTTTCTCCATGACTGCAAATAAATTCGAAACAAGACTATGAATGTTCTTAATACTGATCAAACACCGATTTTCTGTTAAACGATATCATATCATATTCATATTATAAGAAAAGAGTAGGGAATAAATACTTCAATTGTCATTGAAGTTTTCCACATGTGATTGAGTTGCCATTGAATATAATTTTGGAAAAAATTCATTTATCCTACTTCATCTTTACCCTATTTCAAAAATAACAAAACAACTTTCACATTTCAAAAATCAAATTTTTTGACCTATACATACACATATTTATAAATATTTATTTATATATTTAAATATATAAAAAGATATATATAAATAAATATATATATATATAAATACACACACACACACACACACACAAAATTGACCCACCCCCACCTCCACCACCCCCTACCGGTTCGGCGACTTTTCTGGTGATTGCTCCGACGATCGTTCCGACGACTACTCCGATTTCGGTGGCCGTTTCGGCGACTGCTCCGACTCAAGTCACAAGTCACAGTTCAGGTCACAACTAAGGTCACAAGTCATAGTTCAGGTCATAACTCAGTCACAAGTCACAGCCTAGGTCACAACTCAAGTTACAAGTCACAGTCCAGGTAACAAATCAAAATTTTGTTCATAGTCATGAGTTATTTATTATTATTTTTTATATAAGGATCACATGTTATTTTCAAATGATCACAGGTAAATTCTGCGGTGACAACTTATTTAATTTTAAGTCACAGTTCGAATTTTAAGGTCTTAAACAATTAATCAATTCAAACAACTGCTACCCACACCTCACCACACCACCGGACCATCACCTGCATCGCACCACCACCATTAAAAAAAAAACCGCCTCAGCTGCCAGCAAGTCGGCACCACCTCACCGTCAAACCGCAACCAATTACAAACCACCACCAACTTCCAAACCACCACGCAAACACCATTAAAATCACAAATTCACATGGGGAAAATGAAATTCTCACACAATCGACAGTGGGTACACATTTAATAGACCAAATTGCCTCGAAATTTTATCCCCAAATTCGTGACTAGGGCAGCTCAGTTGCTGATCGGCTGACAAAAACCAGGGTAGCGTCGCGACGTTGCTGCGACGCCGATACAGCGTCACGACGCTGCTGAGAATAAGGGCAGCGCTGCTACGATTTAGTGTCGCGACGTTGCTGCGATTTAAAAAACAGTCGGAGGATGAAGAGAAGGGAAGGGGGAGGTGAGGAGAAGGGGAGCACCACCGGCTCAGCCACCACCAGCGTCGCGACGCTGCTGAGAACAAGGGCAGCAGCATCGTGATGCTACTGCTATTTTAAAAACTGCCGGAGGGGGAGGGGGAGGGGGAGGAGAGGGAGTGAGGGGAAGAGAAGGGGAGCACCACTGGCTCCGCCACCACCAGCCAGCACCACAGAGAGAGACGGGGCGAGAGAGAGTGGCGTGAGAGGGGAGAGAATGACGAGAAACTGGCTGTGATAATTTTAGGGTTGGGTTGGGGTGTATATAATTTAATTTTCATAATACTTTTATTAATGTTTCATTAAATATAAAAAATGTATCTATACATTTAAATATCTGATTTTTGAAACTTAAAACACCAAATCTGATTTTAGAAATTGAATTTTCAAATGTAGGGGAGGGTATAATTTCCACTATAATGTTTCCAGTTGCCACTTATATTTTCCAAGTGTGGTAATTACATGAGGACCTACTTTTCAAGATTCAGATTCCAAAATCAGATTTCATATTTTAATATTCAAAAATTAGATATTTTATATATAGATACAGATTTATTATATTTAATTAAATATTAATAATAATATGATAAAAATTAATATACACCACACCCCTAAATTAATTTCAAACCCTAACCCGTCTCTCACTCCTCTCTCGCTCTCTCCGCCTCTCATCTACTCTCTCTTAGCAGCTCCCTCTCTCAAATTCCCTTTATAGAGAGTGCTGTACTCCGGCACTGGTGAACAGCTTCCTCGTCGCCGTTAACAACCTTTCAAATAACAGCGATCTACTAAGACATGAGTAACAGTGAGCTCCTCCAAATCGAACCTCTCGAACTTCAGTTCCCATCCGAATTAAAGAAGCAGATCTCTCGCTCAATGTGAGCGTCGCAGCGGATATGGATGTGGTTTCGGTGGTTTCCTCTCAATTCCATCCCACACTCTAGTGGGCAGCAACTGCAGTCGTAAGAGGGGCGCTCCTAGTAGTGGCTGGAATCATGATTCGGATCGTGGTTGTTGGCTACTCGATGGAAGCAATTCGGGTGGTGTTTGTAGTTGGCTCGAAATTGGAGAAAGTGACGGCGTGCTGCGGCGATTCTCGTTCACTAATTTTGTGTGGTAGAGATCTCCAGGCGGCGACGACTGTAGTGCTTTTTTTATCGCTGATGGTTTGCCGGTTGCGTGGTGGATCTGTCGGTTGGGATGGGTTTGGATGGTGTTTTGTGTGGTGGTGGTGGATCGACGGTTTGGGGTAATTGCGTGGAAAATTTTCAATTCATTTTTTTTTGTGGTGGTTGTGTTGTGGTGGCGGATCTGCGCGTTTTTTGGTTTGCCATTGATTGGTGAGGCTGTCTTGGCGACGTTAGTGATGGTGGTTGTGGTGAGTTGCCGGCTGTGGTAGCATCGACGGAGTAGGGTTAGGGCACGTAAGACGGTGGTGATAAGATGGTTTTGTATAGTCTGCGTGACCAATGCTGTGACCTATGTTGTGACCTGAGCCATGTGCTGTGACCTAAGTCATGTGCAAAATATTACATGACCTATGCTGTGAGTATCAACAAAAACCTAAGTCATGTGCAAAAATGTTCTGTGACCATTTGAAATAAACATGTGACTATCGACAAGAACTTACACCATGTGTAAAAATATTCTATGACCTGTGTTGTGGCCATTTGAAAATAACATTGGACTATGAACAAAATCGTGAGCTATGTGCAATATATTATGTGACCCGTGCTGTGACCATTTGAAAATAATCCGTGACTATTAACGAAAATGTGAGACATGCGTCTTATCATGTTATCAATCATTATAAACAAACAAACATGCGTTGTAACTCGTGACTTGGGCTGTGACCTGCGTTGTGACCTGTGACCTGAGCTATGACTGGAACTGTGACTTGCGACCTGGGCTGTGATCGTACAAAAAATTCATGTCATCGGAATAGTCG